ACCCACCCACTGAGTTCAATTCCTTTAACAGGTATCTCCCAAATCAGTTCCAGCACACTGTTAATAATCACAGAGACCACTCACAGAATCATGGAATAGTTTGGATTGGAAGGGACCTTTAAAGATCATCTAGTCCAACTCCCCTGCAATGGTCTTGGACATTATTCACTAGATTAGGTTGCTCAATGCCCTGTCCAACCCGACCACCCCTCCGGGGGAGGCCCAGCCACAACTTCTCTGGACAACCTGCGACACTGTCTCACCACCCTCACACCAAACACTTTCTTCCTTATGTCCAATCTAAACCTTCCCTCTCTCCATTTAAAACTGTTGCCCCTTGTTCTGTCACTTCCAAGACTTGGTAAAAAGTCTTTCTCTGTCTTTCCTGAAAGCCTCCTTTAGATATCTAAAGGCCACAATAAAGTCTCCCTGGAGCCTTCTCTCAGCCTGTCCTCACAGCAGAGCTGCTCCAGCCCTCGCATCATCCTGGCACTGGCTCCAGTAGGTCCATGTCCTTCTGCTGTTGGTGGCCCCAGCACTGGAGGCAGCACTGCAGGTGGGGGTCTCAGGAGAGTGAAGTAGAGGGGCAGAATCCCCTCCCTCAACCTGCTGCCCACACTTCTTGTTAGGCAGCTGTAGGTTGGCTTTCTGGGTTGCAAGCACACGTCTGCTTCCCAGCCTGCCTGTGATCCAGCCCCACCATGGCAGATCCAGAGCTAAACACCCCTGAGAAGCAAGAGTGCGGTGCAACTCCTGCTTTAAGAAGTTGCATTAAGTTCTCACTAACCTGAGTGCACAGGTACCTGTGTCTGGTCAGATTCTACTGGTTTTAAACACGTGGGGAGCCGCTGCAGCCCCAGCTCCTAGTCCTGCTGCCTGCCAAAGGCAGGTCCTTGCTCCCAGCTTTGCCCAACTTCTCAACTCAGAGGCTTACACTGCAGCAAGATACCGCTGATGAAGGTGACTGGAAGCATCTCCAAGCTCCTGCCTTACTTTTCTTGGCACAATCCTAAGAAATATAATCTGGAGTATCACTCTTTTGCGTGACTCAGCACCCTTTAACAATCAGAATTCAGTAAGTGATCTGAAGACAGTTTTGAAAAGAACAATCAATACTGCAGCTGCTTCTTCAGTCCATGATGGGCGATTTGGTACTTATCAAGTTTAGGGGAATGTTGTCTTGGAGGACAATGAGGCTATGGGAGAGATCCAAATCTAGCTGAAGGAACACTCTACCATTCAAAATTGTGGGTAACTGAACACAGATTGCACATGCAGGGACCTCTCTAAGTGCAAGTGATTTACAGCTAGAACATTTGGAGGATCAAAGTGAAGAACAAAAGGCTCTACTAAGCTCCATACAGCTCCTAACACATCAAATGGCCCCTCACTTTACTAGAAAATGGAAAGACTCAGGTGCTAACTCTGCTATTGCCTCATAATCCATTCCATATAAGCATCTCAGATTTACAACACCACGAAAATAACGCACTACTGCGTGTTCAGAGAAGGGCAATGGAGCTGGGGAAGGGTCTGGAGCACAAGTGTGCTGAGTTCCCGGCTGAGGAAACTGGGGGTGTTGAGCCTGGAGAAAAGGAGGCTGAGGGGAGACCTTGTGGCTCTGTGCAAGTCCCTTGGAGGAGGGTGGAGAGAGGTGGGGGTGGGTCTGTTCAACCAAGGAGCAAGGGACAGGACAAGAGGAAATAGGCTGAAGTTGCACCAAGGGCAGTTGAGATGGGATGTGAGGAAGAATTTCTTTGCTGAAAGGGTTCTGAGGCATTGGAAGGGGTTGCCCAGGGAGCTGGTTGAGCCCTCATCCATGGAGGGATTTAAGACATGTGGATGTGGTGCTTAGGGATATGGTTTAGCGGGCATGATGGTGTTGGGTTGACAGTTGGACTTGATGATCTTAGAGGTCTTTTCCAACCTTGATTCTATGATTTTATGAGATCCCTGAACAATCTTATCTCTAAAAAACTTGGCTTCCAGGACTTGGCCCCACTTTGCCTCTCACAGTGGACTGTAAAGCTAACACATTAGTCATTGAGCTGTAGCAGAGCATCACTCATACCTGTTCCGTAGCTTGCAACCAAGGGGAAATGGCTTTAAGCTGAAAGAGGGGAGGTTTAGATTAGATATTAGGAAGAAGTTCTTCACTGTGAGGGTGGTCAGACACTGGAACAGGTTGCCCAAGGAAGTTGTGGATGCCCCCTTCCTGGAAGTGTTGAAGGCCAGGCTGGATGAGGCTTTGAGCAACCTGGTCTAGTGGAAGGTGTCCCTGCTGCTGGCAGGGGGGTTGGAACTGGATGAGCTTTAAGGTCCCTTCCAATCCAAACCATTCTATGATTCTATAACCAGTAAGTTGCAAAATACCACGGAGGCTCATGGCTAAAATAGATTAAATTTTACACTGAAGTGGCCACATGTCCAGAGGAGATTTATGTGTTGCATAAAATGCTGTTCCGGTGACAGTACTGTGCAGTGCAGAAATAAATATGCCTACAGCAGCAAGATCCCTCATATCAAGAGTGGTGGCAGCTGGGCAGCTTAAGGTTTGTTAACAAGAAAGAAACCTTCTTCCAGAAAAGACATGCATGCCCTGTGGTTCCCTCAAACGTGCTGGAGGCCAGCATCTCTCAGGCAAGAAGGATGGGCTTGTCATTGCTAGGTTGTATAAGATACACCAATTTCCAAAAAGCAGATCTTACCATTTTTTATCTGAACGCAGCTATGGCATCTTCTGGCTGCTGGGAAACCTGAGGAGAATGAAAAAAAAATCAGCTATAGTTGCTTTAAAGTACTTGGGCAAGTGGTGATTATATCTCAACATCTAATCATGGACAGGAGTCACTTATTTCATTTCTAAGGGGCTTCTGCTTTCCTACAATCACAGGTATAACATCTCTAATTTAGCAACTGGCTGTTTCAGAAGGTTTGATTCCTACTTATTCTTCAAGGAAGGAAGAAATGTGCTGGAATCTTATTCCCCATAGACTCCAGTTCTCATCTCTGGCTTGGTGAAAAGCAGAAGCCAAGGGCCCTACAAGGTTTCAGGGAAACCCCTGCTGCTATCCAGGCCAGCATGGGGTCCCTCAGAGGTAACAGAGGTGATATGAGTCTTCTTCTGGGAAGAGAGCCAACCACTATCATCTTTCCCACTCAGGGAGGGAGAGAAGCCAGACTGCTAAATATGCTTCAGATGGGTTAGTCCTCAAAAAGCTCCAAACAAGCAGGACCTTGAAGCCAGCAGTAAATCACATACTGCACAAGGGTATGAAAAAGGTTTCCAGCCTGGCAGAAAACTGCATCTTCCAAGTATCTTGGCCACTCTCTAGTTTACAGGGAAAGACGTGGGAAATTCCAGACTCACCAACTTTTTCATGAGGTTTTGTAGCGATTTCCTCCCAGGTGTTGGTTTCAAGGTTGTACGCGTGGATCTGAAGGGACAAAGAGGAGCTATTAGTTCCTCCTGGCTCTCCCAGCACTACAATGAGGCAGGTCCAGTTTCTGACCCAGGGAGCCACTATAAATAACAATTCTTTTTCATTAAGTGTAAAACCAAAAATAGCTAATGGCAGCCAGTGACTAAGCAGGTATAAAATCACCTTCAACCTGTAGCAGCTTACTAAAGCTTTCATCTCAGGCTTTGCTATTTGAACCCCACAACTGAAGAAAAAAGAATATTGCTTTTAAAAAAGAAATGGACCAGTTAAAACCCACACTTCCAGTTCTCAAAAGTATGTAGGAATACATAATTCATACTGCATGGAAGGAGAAAAGAAAAGCAGAGGACAGAGAGATTAAAAGTCATGTTAACTGCTGCAGTTTCAGCTTTTTTGGAAGTGGAGCACTGAATTCTCTTC